CATTTTTCCTCCCCCAATAAAATACTTTAAGGCCGTTTGCTTCTTGTGAAGGTCAGAAGGCAGCCAGCAGGGTGGTTTCCTGGTACTGGAGATGCATCAACGCTGGAGAGGACATGCTTACTTGGTCATTTACATTTCATGCCACTCCCTTGCTCAAGAAGCCACTGTGACTCTCTCTTATCTTACCCATGACCAGACCAAACCAAGGCCATGTCTCTACCTGGCTCTGGGAGAACTCTGTTCTGACCTCTTCCTAATCATCCAAACGTATTTGCTGGTGTTAACTAGCCTCTACCCTAGCCACATCAGTTTGGTCTCTGACTCATGAGAACCTAGCAAATTCTTGTTGTACAGAGTATTTTATGTTGGTCCATCACCTGAAAAGTTAGCCTCCCCCAGAGTATATCAAGATACTTAAAAATACACCTCTTAGGCCGGGCACAGTGACTCACGCCTGCAATCCCAGCACTTTGGGAGGCCGAGGCGGGCGGATGATGAGGTCAAGAGTTCAAAACCATCCTGGCCAACATGGTGAAACCCCGTCTCTACTAAAAATACAAAAATTAGCCGGGCATGGTGGTGCACAGCTGTAGTTCCAGCCACTCGGGAGGCTGAGGCAGGAGAATCGCTTGAAACCAGGAGACAGAGTTTGCAATGAGCCGAGACTATGCCACTGCACTCCAGCCTGGGTGACAGAGTGAGACTCTGTCTTAAGAAAAAATTAAAAAAAAAGAAACATGCATCTCTTAAATCCATTATACCATACAAAGACCTTAACCTTAGGCAAAAGCAATATCAAGAAGTATTCACTTATATTTATTGAACAACTTACTCTGTGCAGGCACTGTTCTAAGTACTTAACCCATGTAACTCTTAATCTCAGGACCAGTGTATGGGCAGGACTGTCTTCGTCCTCAATATACAGATGAGGAAACCACTGCCCAGGGTGGCTAAGTAACTCACCCAAAGTCATATGGCTAGAAAGTAGTGGCACTGGGTTTTGAACACAAGCTTTCCTTCCTAGAGTTAAATACGTAAATGAGCAGCACGCACTTAGTGCTCATGGGATGTTGGTTGTTGTTTTTTGAAATGGGGTCTCACTATGTTGTCCAGGCTGGCCTTAAACTCCTGGGCAACACAATGAGTTCAACATAGTGAACTCTAGTGATTCTAATGCCCAATAAAAGGTAATGGTTCAATCAAGTACCCAACATGATAGAATGCAATGCATCCATTTAACACCAGGTTCTCGGGCCAGGTGCAGCGGCTCATGCCTGTAATTTCAGCACTTTGGGAGGCCAAGGCAGATGGATCATCTGAGGTCAGGAGTTCGAGATCAGCCTGGCCAACATGGTAAAATCCCCTATCTACTAAAAATACAAAAATTAGCCAGGTGTCGTGGCACATGCCTGTAATCCCAGCTACTCAGGAGGCTGAGACAGAAGAATGACCTTGAACCTGGGAGGTGGAGGTTGCAGTGAGCTAAGATCGTACCACTGCACTCCAGCCTGGGTGACAGAGTGAGACTCTGTCTCAACAAACAAAACAAATAAAATCAGGTTCTCAAAGAATATGTATTAAATACCTGAACAAATGTTCATGCTGTCTTGATATTTAAAAAACAGGATTAGACTGGGCACAGTGGCTCATGCCTGTAATCTCAGCACTTTGGGAGGCTGAAGCAAGAGGACCACCTGATCCCAGGACTTTGAGACCAGCATGGGCAACAGAGCAAGACCATGTCCCTACGAAAAGTTTTAAAAACTAGCTAAGCACAGTGGAGCGCATCTATAGTCCCAGCTACTTGGGAGGCTGAGATGGGAGGATCACTTGAGCCCAAGAGATCGAGGCTACAGTGAGCTATGGTCGTGCTGCTGTGCTCCAATCTGGGTGACAGAGCCAGTCTGTCTCAAAATATTTTCTTTTAAAAAAAAAAAGGATTAAAAGTATATATACAAAAAGATTTCAGTGTAAATAGAGACCACTCAGGGAACAGAGCTCCGTGTGGCTGGGTCGGTCCTTCGAGGCCAAGCAAGCAGAGGCCAGGCCTCCTCCCTGCAGCCCACTTTGCAGGGTGGCCCCGGGGCAGATGTGCAAGCATTCTGACAATCAGCTGCTGAGACTGCACTGCTGAGCCGCACAGCGGAAGGCTCAAGGTGACCCTGATTCTGCCTCTTCCTCATGCTCTTCTTTTCCTTTCCTTGTCTTTCCTGAAAATTTCTAGACCGTGGACCAGTGGTACTTGACCAGGGGCAATACTGAACCCTAGAGCAAATTTGGCAAGGTCTGGAGACATTTTTGATTGTCACGGCTGGGGCAGTGCTACTGGCACCAAGAGGGTGGAGGTCAGCAATGCTGACGAACATCCTACAGTGCCCAGGACAGAACCCCACGGTGACGATCTGGCCAAACTGTCAGTAATGCTGAGGCTATGAATGTGGTGTAGTCCAGGGCGCTCTTCAACCCTGGGCCACAGACTGTTACTGACCACATGCAGGAGGTGAGTGACAGGTGAGTGAGCGAAGCTTCGCCTGTATTGACAGCCACTCCCCATCACTCGAATGATCGCCTGAGCTCCGCCTCCTGTCAAATGAGCACGGCATTAGATTCTCAGTGGAGCACAACCCCTACTGTGAACTGCGCATGCGTGGGATCTCGGCTGCATCGTCCTTATGAGAATCTCATGCCTGATGATCTGTCACGGTCTCCCATCACCCCCAGATGGGACTGTCTAGTTGCAGGAAAACAAGCTCAGGGCTCCCATTGATTCTACATGATGGTGAGCTGTATAATTATTTTATTATATATTACAATGTCAAAATCATAGAAATAAAGTGCACAATAAATGTAAAGTGCCTGAATCATCCTGAAACTATCAGCCCACCTTCCCCAGTGCCACAGCGTTACGTAATACCTTTTTTGTATTTTTTTTTTTTTTTTTTTGCCATGGCATCATCAAACCCTTTTCAAATCAATTCTGCCTCCTGTTATGCTTCCAACTGTGAGAATGCAGTTATCACACCCTGGTCACACATCCAGCCCATCCCAGAAGGAGGCTTTGTGTGAGATTGGAAGAAGCACGCTTTGCCTAAGACAGTCTGCTTCCACCTGCCAGAAGTTGCCTTACTAATGTGTAAACTGATGATGCATCCAATTTGAATGGCAGCCCTCAGAGGAGGTGCCCTTGTGCAGGGCACAGTCCTTCCAACTGGACAACTCACCTGTTATATTCTCGGACTGTTCTAAAGACAATAAACAAACAGGCAAACCTCAATGCCCCTTTGAACTAACCTACTGAAATCATGTCAGTTAAGGAAAAAAAAAAAAATTGTTCCTAGTATCCAAAATAAGTGTCCCAAGTTATTTGAGCGAATTTCCTTCTAACAATACATTTGTTTCATCAATTATTGCTTAAGCTGATACTTTCCTACTTGAGATCAGCATCTTTTTTACCACATACCCACTGAAAAAAGACATCACCAGTGCACCAGAGAAAGAATACACATGGTGAAGAAACAAAATGCTAAGCCTCTCATAGCAAAGAAAAGCAACATAGAACTTAATTTTTTAAAAATAGCATTTCTGGGATGGGGTGAAACTATTACTGACATGATGGAAATTTCAATTTGTAGATTTCTGGAAGGTAATTTAGCAATATATATATTTAAATCCTCAGAATGACTGTCCAAAATTCCACTGCTAAGAATAAACCCTAAATAAACTAAAAAAAGATACAATATTCATGTACAAGAAGATTAATCCTAGAGGTCTAAGATGATTAACTGCAGAACTGCTTATAATAAAAATCCAGGTAGCCAATATTAATTGACTTACACTGTACTTGGTGCTATTATAATTACTTGACATGTACTAGCTCATTTAATCTTTATGACAACTCTATAGGGTAAGGAATCTTGTTAGTATCATTTTGTACATGAGGAAATTAAGGCACAGAAAGGTTAGGTAATCTGTCTCAGATCACAGGGCAAGCAGGTTACAAAGCCAGATCAGAACCCAAGATATCCAGGGCCAGAGCATGCATGCTTTTTTTTTTTTTTTTTCATGCATGCTTTATCACCATTCTGTTCGGCCTCCCTTCTTGATAAGAGCAAAAAGTTTTTAAAATGTCCTTCCTTATGTGAAAAAAGTAATTTTTTAAAAAGGGTTGAGGGTGGGATTAGTAGCCGTCAAAACGACCTAGAATGAGTTAAAATGTAGAATGGCACATTCATACAGTGGTGAACAGTGTGGCCATCACAATCCCTGGAGACGCATTAAGTAAAAAGAGCAGGGTATAAAACTGGATGGTAGGATCTACGCCCCCCAAACCAATGTCATGTGGAAGAAAGAGATGATCACTTTTGTCTGGTTCTAGGGGACAGAGAAAGAGCTCCAACATCCACCAACCTGTGGTCTTCTCAGTAAACACAACTTTGGACTCAGCCGTGAAGTTCTGCCCCGTGAGGATCATTTGCTGGCCGCCATAGACCAGGCAGCTGTCCGTGTCTTGTCTTTCAACCATGGGTAGCTCGTGGGCAGATCGCTGGGCTGCAAGCAAAAGAGAAAGGTCACTGTGATGAGGGAGATGTCTGCTCACATGCGGAGGTCTGATTTCATGGTACTGAGATATGACATGCTCTGTCCACCTGTGTCACCTGTTATCTAAAATGTAGAACCATCACCCTTAACAATCGATGACCGTACAAATGTTATGCCTTGTGAAAGCTCTCTAAGTCATTTGAGCTAATTTTCTCCTAACAACACATTTCATTTTCATGAATCAAGGGACAGAGGCCTGTTCTCCTTATAGGAAGCCAGAGGCTGCCTGTTGTCCTTATAAGGAGGACAGGTAAATGAGAATTTATTTTCTTTATCCTTTTACAAAGGGACAGGCAAATAAACTTCTTTATCAGAGATTTCCTTTGTTAAAGTATATCCTTTCTTTGTACATTTGATGTCAGCCAAAACTTGAAGGCATCATGTATGCTAAACTTAAGATATTGTACCTGAAGGGTTCAGATATATTGACTTTGGAATTCATGCATGATACTTAATATAGTCTTTAAGACATCCATGATCTACCTTTTCTAGATGTCCTTTTCTAGAACTCTCCCTCATTCATTCTGCTCCAGCCACACTTCTAGAACATTCTGTCTCTCAGATAGACTCAGTACACTCCTACCTTTGAGCATCTGCCCCTGTTAGTGTCTCTCTTCCCCAGTACCTGCATGGCTCCTCCTCTACTTCCTGCAGGTCTCTACTCAGCTGTCACCCCTGAGGCTTGTTTAACCCGCTCCACCTGTTCCCACAGGCAAAGCAACAGCACCCAGCCCTGTTCCCTCTCTCTCATTCTCTGTCACCTTGGCTTTCTCTGTCCTACTTTGCTTTTCTCCAAAGAGCTTTTCACTTTCAGATACATTACATGTAGCTTGTACTGGTTTATATTCCTTCATCTTTCCCCCAGCATGTAAGCCCAGGAAGGACGGGCTTTGCTTTCGGGAACTGCTGTAAGCCCATGGTGCCAAGAACCTAGGAGGAGGACTTAGTGGTGGGTGAGTGGGCAGGTGGATAGATGAGTGGATGGACAGGTGGGTGGGTGGGTGGGTGGACGCGTGAGTGGATGGATATGGACATGTCTGTATTTCCCAATACGTATTCTCAGTACATCTATATTATCTGTGTCCTCATCTATATTTGTAATAAATGAAAAATGGAAGAATAGGACAGGCCTCTGCTAAGCGCTAAACCAGGGTGCTATACTTGAATGCTCACTGCAACCCTCTGAGGAAGGAAGTATTAAAATGATTCGCATTTAACTGGGGAGAAAAGCAAAGCTAAGGAAAATGAGGTCACCACTTAGCCGAGGGTACATGGTGAAGCTTAGATCTGAACCGTCAAAAACAGGTTTCTCTAGCTCCAGAGCCCAATCTCTTAGGCTAACCAGCCAGCCACCCATTATTGCAGAAGGCAGGCTGCAGAAAAGAATGAAGACCTGCTCCAGCCACCTTCCCAGAGCCGGCAAGCAGCAGCTCCCAGCCAGAGCCAGGGCCCGCCTCCTCAGGCCTCTCTCCTTCCAGCGTGGGCCAAGAGGCTGGGCCCACCCCCGGGGGTGAGTCAGTCTGAGCTCTTGGCATTCCTCCTGAAGCCCAAAGAACTGGGCAGAGAGCCAGCCCCTTCCATGCCAGGAACCTGAGGACCTCCCCATCCGGGAGCCTGGGCAGCAACCGCGTGAGGCCCGCGGCCCAGTTCTAACCCTTCCCTCCCGCCTTGCCCGGGCCTCCAGGCCGCCGGCGTCCCCCTGCATCTGCTGGAACCACATGACGGAGCAACAATGCATTTGGCAACATTTCAGGAGTTGCCACGAACCAGCCGGAGGCTTCCAGATTCTCCACCTTGAAAGTGCTACCCAGCAACGACTCAAACAAATCCGCCGATGGCTTTTCCCATCCCCAGCTCAGCCCAGGCACCCTCTGTTCCCAGAGACCCACCTGCCAGCGCTGCCCAGGGGCTGCTGGCTACAAGGATAGATGACAAAGACCTCTCCGCAGAAGCTGCTACTCTCTTCCACGTGGGCTGGGTTATTAATCCCTTCTTTCAATATCAAAGTTTTGTGATGACTTCCTAACCGAGCTGCCACAAATCGAGATTTATTAGCAGCAAGAACAGCAGCAAGTCCCCGGCTTTGAAGATCTGCCTTTGATGAAACTGGGGAGCAGCTGGGGGCTTTCGGCCCCGGGGCTGGGTGGGGCCGTGGCAAGAGCCTCCCGCCCATTTTACAGGTGGAAAGCCTGAGTCATCGCTACTGGGGAAGCCAGCCCAGGGCTTGCAGCCAGGAGGGCTGGGCAGTGGAAGGGGCTGCAAGCTCCCAGCGCTGGGCGGGAGGTTGGCACGGACAGTTGGGCTGTGAATCACCGCACAATGCTGTGAACACAACTCCTGTCTTTCCTGCGGCAGCCTCACTGCCTCTCCCTTCAAAGCCTCACAGTCTCAGCAACCAACAGATCCAGCCTTTGCAAAGTCTGCATTTCCTACCTCCCGACCTGAAGAAAACTTTTTAATGAAAATTTAAAGAGATTGCAAAAAGAGAAAACAGTCACAGTCCAGTCCAGCTGCCTATAGGCCATTAGCTATATTCTAGTCTCACAACTCAAAGTGTGGGCCAGGGGCGTTGACATCAATGGAAAGCTTGTTAGACACACAGTACACCTCAGGCCCCACCTCAGACCTACCGAGCCCAGATCTGCAGTTTAACAAGGAACGCATGTGATGCTTGTGCACTATCACGTTTGAGAAGCACTGCTTAGCCCTGGCCAATTAGAACGGGAAGTTAAAAATACACCTGGCAGGGCGCAGCGGCTCACACCTGTAATCCCAGCACTTTGGGAGGCTGACGTGGGTGGATCACCTGAGGCCAGGAGTTTGAGACCAGCCTGGCCAACACAGTGAAACCCTGTCTCTACTAAAAAAATACAAAAAATTAGCTGGGCTTGGTGACGGTCACCTGTGATCCCAGCTACTCAGGAGGCTGAGGCAAGAGAATCACTTAAACCTGGGAGGCAGAGGTTGCAGTGAGCCAAGATTGTGCCATTGCACTCCAGCCTGGGCAACAGTGTGAGACTCCGTCTCAAAAAATATATATATATTATATATATACACAATAAATATATGTATAATATATATTATATATATTATAAATATATAAATATACATATTATATATATAAAATATATATATTATATATTTATATTTATATAACATATATATATACTGACACCCAGGCCCTCCCTCTCTTTTTTTTTTTAAGGCACAGTCTTGCTCTGTCGCCCAAGCAGGAGTACAGTGGTTGCATCATGGCTCACTGCAGCCTCCGCCTCCTGGGCTCAAGTGATCCTCCCACCTCAGCCTCCCAAGTAGCTGGCACCACAGGCGTGTACCACCACATCCTGATAATTTTTGTAGAGACAAGGTCTTGCCATGTTGCTCAGGCTTGTCTTGAACTCCTGGGTTCAAGCAATCTGCCTGCCTCAGCCTCCCAAAGTGCTGGGATTATAGGCATGAGCCACTGTGTCTGGCCCAGGGCCCAATTCTAAAGCAAGGCTTCTCAACCTTGGCACTTTTGCCATTTGGAGCAGGATAATTCTTTGTCGTCAGCAGGCAGGCGGTGTCCTGTACAATGTTTAGCAGCATCCCTGGGTTCCACCTATCGGATGCCAGGAGGACCCCACTCCCCCCCTCCCTCAACAACCAAGATTATCTGCAGACATGACGGGATATGCCCTGGGGAAGAGGGTGCAAAATCATCCCTGCTTGGAAACAGCTGTTCTAGAGATTCTGACTTAAATGGTCTGAGGATAGGGCTCCAGCATCAGTTTTATCTTTAAAAAAAAATCTTCAAATGATTCCAGCAGGCCACAGCCAGGTTTGATCTGCGGTACCACTGCTGTAGGGTAATACAGGTCCCTGGGAGCGGCAAGAGAATACATCATTAACTGCTTGGGCTCCAGGGTCAGAAAGCCATGGTTTTCAGCCCTACATCTGCCATCCCTGCTCTGTGACCCTGGGCAAGCCACTTCACCTCTCAGAGTCCCAGATGCCTCCTCTGTAAAGTCATAACAATACCTGCCCTCATGAGTCCGCTTCAAGCAGTACAAGATCCTGTGTATAAATATATGGACGCAGTCAGCACATGGATGGTAAAATATCAAATATCAACCCAAACGGTCATCCATGGATACATGGATAAAGCATGGTATATCCATGCAGAATATTACTCAGCCACGAAAAGAAATGAAGTGCTGATTCCATGCCGTGACATGGATGGACTTTGAAACCATCAAGCAAAGTAAAAGGAGCCAGACACAAAAGGACCCATAGCATTCGATCCCATTTATGTAAAACAGCCAGAACAGGTTGATGCAGAGAGATGGAGAACACACTGCGGCTTGCTGGGGGTGGAGATTGGGCAGCGGCTGCTAAGGTGTGAGGTATTTCTTTTTATGGTGATAAAGTTCTGCAGGCCAGGTGCTGTGGCTCACATCTGTAATCCCAACATTTTGAAAGTCCAGGGTGGGTGGATCGCCTGAGGTCAGGAGTTCAAGACCAGCCTGACTAATATGGTTAAACCCTATCTCTATTAAAAAATAAAAAAAACTAGCCGGGCATGGTGGCGTGCACCTGTAATCTCACCTACTCAGGTGACTGAGGCAGGAGAATCGCTTGAACCCAGGAGGCGGAGGTTGCAGTGAGCCGAGACCACACTACTGCACTCCAGCCTGGGTGACAAAGCAAGACTCTGCCTCAAACAAACAAACAAAAAAAATTCTGCAACTACAGAGTAGTGGTAGTTGCAATAATATTACAAATGTACTTTATACACTGAACTGTATACTTTAAAAAAGTTAAAATGGTAAATTTCATGTATATTTTATCACAATATGAGAAAACATCCTATATAAGGCACACCAGCCCATGGCTAGCACCTGCAGCTGGCACACAGTAACAGCTCAAGACATTACAATCTTTGCTATCATTGACTTTCAAAAATGCCC